TGGCAACTATTAGAAGTAGAGACAGCTATTAGTAATAGCGGGTTAAAGTTCTAATAGCAGGACTAGAAGTAATAAGGATATAAGGATAGATAGATTTTATTATTACTCTTATTATAGTTAACTTAAATTATACTTTCTTACTAGTTACTTTACTTTATAAGATTATTACTCATTAGTCTATTTAATATAGATTAGTAGTTGTCGAACCTTTGTTACCTTCTATTTAAGCACACCACTCCACTGCATCGCCAGACAAACTCTCACGACGCTTTTCACACCAACTCACTCACCCTAACCCGGATCGAGCTTAGAGGAGTATCAGCACCCAACCCCGTGTAACACATGGCAATGTATATAGCGGCAATCCTTGATGCATATCATGCAAGGGCCCGTCGCGTACTAGCGGATGAAGTTGAGATAGAACCCATGCATGACAGCAACGCTAGCCCTAATATATCATAGTCGACCGACCTCTGATCAACGCGTCATTCCCATGTCAATGTATTCGATCTACCTTCGATCTACTCCACAATGTCCGAGCAACGCGCTGAACGTGCAGAAGTGCTGACATCAAGCAAAAATGGCATTGGCTGCCGTGTTCCCCGGAACGGGCCAACGTCATTGTACAAAATTGCTTTTGGCTTGTCCAACCAGGCAATGATCTCAGAGCCAAATAGCTAAAGAGAGCACATAGGAACATATTGTGACATATGTAGCAATCATGCAGGCAGCAAGGTTATTTAGGACTAGGATTGCCCTTCAATCTTGCTCCAGTCAAAAAACCTCAATTCTAACACCACGCATATCCGTAGCGAGATTCTCTTCAACTTCACCCAAAACTACTCCGTCTAACAAGCCAAACACCGACCGCTTCGCCGGCCCAGTGGAAACTCCAACAAACAGCACCATGCAAACCATCAAAAACACAATCGCCGAAAACCTCGGCAAAACAGTCTCTGGCGCCCACTCCCTCGCACCCGCAGACCAGCAATTCTCCCTCGAAGAAGTCCCCGACCTCAGCGGCAAAGTCGCCGTCGTAACTGGCGGCTCCGAAGGCATTGGCTACGGCTGCACACACACGCTCCTCTCCAAAAACATCTCCAAACTCTTCATTATCTCCATGAGCAAAGACATCGCCTCGGACGCCACCGCAGCCATCGCCTCAGAACTCGGCCAAGACAAAGCCTCGCGCGTAGAATGGCTCCAATGCGACCTCTCCGACTGGTCTGCCGTGAGCCGCACCGCCTTTGAAATCACCAAGAAAACCGACCGCCTCGACATCCTTATCAACAACGCCGGCCGCGGCATAATGACGTACCAACTCGCCTCCAACGGCGTAGACCTACACATGGCCGCCAACCACATGGGCCACGCAGTCCTAACCTCGCACTTGCTCCCCCTCCTCAAATCCACCGCCGCCACAGGCACCAAAGTCCGCATAGCACAGCTCGCATCCAACGCGCACCAAAACGCTCCTAGCAACACTTCTTTCGCCTCCTTGGAGGAACTAAATCAGGATCTGGGACCAAACGGCCAGTACGGCCGCTCCAAACTCGCAGCTATACTCTACGCTCGCTACCTAGCCCGCCACCTCGCTTCCTCGCATCCAAACCTCCTCGTCAACGCCACGCACCCCGGTGTAGTCGAGACGCGCCAGTCCGTCGAGCACATCCACGAGGCTTACCCACTTGCCGGCTACGGCGTCAGCGTCGCTTTAGCCCCGTTTAAAAAAACACAGTTTGAAGGCGCGGTTAGCACGATGTTTGCGGCGACGAAGACGGAGGTGAGTGGTCAGTATGTTTGCCCGCCTGCTATTCCTGAGCCTGGCAGCGCAATGTCGCAGGATGAGGAGTTGGGGGAGAGGCTTATGCGGTTGACGGAGAGTGTGGTTAGGGAGAAGACGATGGGGGAGAGTGCGGGGAAGGGGTGTCCGTTTAAGTTTTATTAGATTTCTTCTTTTCTTGTGTAGTTACTTGCCCAGTGCGTACATGGCTCAGTTGAATTTCAAACTTCAATTTCTTTTTGTTTTTATTTTCAATCGCTCCTTTTCACACATCAGTATGTATCTAAGATATACCTTGCAATACCGAAATGTCGGGGACCAAGAATTCTACTTTATAGAAGAGGGTAGGGTGGGAAAAGTCATAAACTCATATGGCTCCATATGCCCGTTGGTATCGCTGAAGCGCCTTGACAAACTTATACATGCTAAAAAAAAAGAAGAAGAATTAACCCACTCCATAATTTCAAATGGATCAAAAGAAGAAGAAACAACGACGTTGTCAATATGCCGAAGAAACTACGCAATACCCTCCATACCCATCGGAACCTGAAACCCGCTCAACCCCTCACCTGCACTCGTAAGACGTGCACAAAGACTCAAAAAGACCACCGTCTCCGTCGCAGCGAGATAATTCAATGTATCCAGCAAAATCTTAAGATGCCTTGTGAAATTCTCTTCATACTTGGCGAGCATGTCGAACATCTTGTCGACACGCTGGGGGTCGTACACAAACTGCGTGGTGGGTCTATGTGTGGCATTGAGCAGCGGGGCAGCAGCAGCAGCAGCAGCAGCAGGGGTTTTTGAGGGTTTTGAAGTTTGGGATGGTTGGGGAGGTGCGAAAGTGGCGTTGATTTGAGCGACAAGGTCCGGGTCACCGGTTACGAGGTAGCGGGATAGCGAGTAGGTGAAGGAGGCGAACATGGAGCATGTTTGCATGATCTTGTTGTTGATCTGGGGAGATTTGTTAGCATGGGAAGTGAAGTAGGTGATGCAAAACTTACTCGCAGCAGCTTACTGTTAGTAAGCATGCATTCTTTCAAACAGGTTGCGAGAAAATCAACATGGTCCTGCATCAGTTCGTCTACTGTTCGCTTCACTTGAGGTCCACCGCTCTCGTCCTCGTTCATCCTGCCCTTGGCCCTTGCGTCTTGGTTCTTCTCCTCGCTTATCCGCGACATCAATGAGGTCCAGTTGGGCTCAATGACCTCCGATGTACAGTAATATGTAAGTTGTTGCACAAAGACCAGCATACGTGCACGAAGTGTCCACGCTCGGCGTTTCCACTGTTCAATACGAGGGTTCCTTGACCGATGTTTCCAGGCGGCATTCTTGCCCTGCTCGCCCCAGCACTTGGCTAGGTCCGTCTCGAGGTGCTTTAAACTCAGGAGGTATCGGAAGAGTAATTGATAGCGCGTTAGTGTGACTCTGCTGACTACCAGTGACAGTGGGAATGGCATGGCGTAGTCAAAGACTAGTGCTTGGTATCCTGTGATGTTGGTATCATCTGTAATGGGCGCGGAATTTGCCGGCGTATAACTTGACAGTGTAGCACTAGCAGTTTCCTGATCCAGACCCTGGACATTGACAATCTTCATGAGCCAATTTGTCAGACCAGTATTGTTAATCTGGACCTTGATATCTTCCTTGTATGGGTCTTCGACGGCAACCGAACCAGCATGACGTGTAGCGAGATCCAAGAGAGATTGCAGCTTGCCGACATTAACGTGTTTAGCTGGCTTCTTGAGCTCAAGCTCACTCATCTCAAGGAAGTAGGTGAAGAAGTCGGATCTGTCGAGGAAGAAGTAGTGCTTCAGTGAACGCAGTCGTGCAGGGAGTTGATGTGTCGTAAGGAGCAGGTTGAGAAGCGACGAGTTTGCGTAGGCGTATGAGGAGTTGACATTGTCTAGAAAGCGAGGATCGTCAAAGCTAGTTGGCGCGTCCTGCACAATCTTGCTAACATCGACGCCTCCGCACTCGCGGACTACGTTGAGGTATTTGCCTGCTAGTAGTACTTTATCCTTTACTGCTTCGAGCTGTGGAGGAACAAGGTTGTCGCGTATGGTATATCTCTTCTCCCAGTATTCATCCGTGTAATCTTGATCTAACCGCTCGCGCTTGATGCTCCTCTGCTCCTTGATCAAAAACTCGGAATGTGGGTCTTTGATGCCGCCGTGATGTAACCACTCGTTCAGCATGGCCATGTATGGTCTACTAGCTTCCCGTAGCAGAGTAGTCAACAGTGTGCGCGCTGCTGGATCTCCCGACATTGAAGCAAGGCGTTTTGTGACCAGGCCCAGTACACTTCCGCCTTTGCAGAGTTTCTTGGTCGTGTTGCCCCCTTCTCGTAACGATTCAAGAATATTCTCAAAATCATTGCTATCGTCGTCTGCCGAGTCCTCATCCTTCTCATCCTCCAGTATACCGTTTGCTTTCAGCAATTCGATGCCTGTCGTGTAGAGCTGAAACAACATGTGACTTGTTTGTTTTGTATGTAAATTTAGCACGTGGAGGGTGAAGGATTCGTTGGTCAAAAGCTGGTGTTCGAGCTGGGCTACGAGCGTGAGATAGTCCTTCAGCAATCGGCGTACAGCCGCACACAGGGCATGGTTGACAGCACCGTACTCCTCCCTACTCAGAACCTCAACACAGGCTTCGACAGCAATGTAATGGGTGGCAGTCTTTAACATGGACTTGGTCAGGTCGCGCAGACTCGGGTCGAGGCCGGGCATCAGACGAAACTGGGGGCCCACCAGACGCTCCTTCTCTTCATGTGGGTTGTATGCATCGCTGAAGCGAATGTACTGCCCTTCAAAGCCCATAAATACAAACAGCAGATCCTCGAGAATCGCCCTCTCCTGGGCCTCAACTGACAGCTGTGCGAGTGGTGTAGGCTGCAACGACACGGGGGCGGTGGACGCGAGGGGAGGCATGGAAATGCGTGTGGCCAGCGGGGCCGTCGTATGCGGTACCAGCGATGCCTGTGGTTCCCATGGCGTCTGGGGCTCTTCGGGTTGCGACTTTTGCGAGGCAGCACTCCGAGACGGTCTCTCAACATCACGCGCCGGTTTCTCTGCACGGCTTCGAGTACTCGGATGGCTCTCGCTCGAGGACTTCAGCGGCGTCTTGATGCGCCTGACCTCGGTCTCTCGCTCTCGCACCTCGCGCTTTTCGGTACGGCGCTCGCCCGTGGTGGCGCCAGTTGCGCGCATGGTGGCCGAGTGCTTCTTCGCATGCGGTGCTGTGCTGGTGGTGCGGCGATCGTGTTCTTCTCCAAGGGCGACGCGGGGTCGCGAGGCCGACGAGTGGTTTGCATTCACGGAGCGACGTTCAGCCGTAGACAGGGATTTCATTGTCGGAACGGTGCGCGAGGACATGGCGGCGGGGAGAGCACTCCATAGAGGCTGAGCGCTATTGTGTTGCTCGTTGCTGCGCTGGGCCCATGTTTGGGCTGCAGTAGCCGTGTTGATCTTGGTCCCGCTTTCCCACGCGTCACTGCGCGCTACTCGCTAAGCGAACCATGACGCAGACCGGCCTGGCACCTGTCGCTGCTGTTGCATCGCGCCATACATGCTTAGATCCGTTGGGCTGGACGTGGCTATATATATAAGTATATGTATATATATTGTCTGGGCGTGGACACTGCGTCCTCACACTACACGCCATGCCTAAAAGAAGATACGACCAAAGAACCTGGAACTGTACATCTATCTCTTCTCTCCCCTAGCCTACATATGTTGAACCCAGAAACCAATAGAGAACAATGCTTCTCTCGAGTGCTGCTACGCGGTACAAGCGCTACATTTCATGCCAAACACGGGCCTCATGACAAAGAAAATGTAAAAAGAAAAGAAAAAGAAAAAGGAGCCAAGGTATACCCAAAACGAGACTGGGGCCATCCAAGTTGACCTGAAAAACTCCTTGCCAATGACGCGGTCACAAATTCACATCAAACCTCATATCGTGCTCTCCCCCGACCCGTGACTTCGTTGCCAAACAGACGGCCTGCATCGACGCAGTACCTGGCCTCTCCTTGGCCGTCTCTCCCCACTTCACTGCCCCAGCATACCAGCACTGCATCCAGAATACCGCCGAGGACACCTTCCATGGCGCCTAGAGCACCCCAACCTATTGCTGCACTAATTAGACCAACAATGTAAGCATAAAGACTGCCCTTGTAAGGCACCGTGCCGTTGCCTAATTGAAGCATGCGTGCGGTCGAGACCCAGCCACCAAAGCCGAGTGCTAACGTGATGACCCAGCGGATGGCATGGAGGAGGAGTTTGGCGAGCCTGTACGACTGTATTGATGGTCGGCCATGGTCCTTGAACGATCTTGGGCCGAGGGTCGTTGTTGGGGATCCTGCAGAAATAAAATTCATTTGGGAAAGACCCAGAGCAGCCTGATTCAGTGGCACGCCGTGAATGGACGCAAAGGTTAGAGTGAGTGGGTTCGTCAAGGCAGCAATCGGAGTCGGCATTATCGAGTAAGCGCACATGCTGATCATGCCGGCAATTCTCCTCGGGAGAACAATGAGCGGCAGGCGAACTACAAGGGAAATGAGCGTTGACAAGCAAATCGTGCCAGCCATGGTATATGTCGCGTGGCTGAGCGAGGCTTGAACAACGGTCCTGGGAGAAGGCGCCGGCACGCTGTTGCGATGAAAATACCACTGAGAAACCGTTGCTGCTGTAGTCGCCCTCTGCACACCTGCAATGACAGCCAAGGTCCAGAAGTAGTCCAAAAAGAAGGCAATACCAAGCCACCATGTGCTTGCATCGATGATCCACCGAGACTTGTTGCCTGCAAAGTGACCCCCAAGAAACAAATGTGTGAACATGAGAAGCCACAGCCAGGACCAGAGAATGACAGCGGCCAGTGTTGCAATGCCTACAAGGAGCAAGGGAAACTGCGCCCTCAAGATTTCGCTAGAAAACTCCAACATGCCGGTGGCCTTTTCCAGTGAATGACGCGCCTTGAGAATGGTATACACCCAGGAGCCAGCCAATATTAATGGGCCAAACGAGAGCCAGCGCATCATCCGATCCTGAATGCTGTCGCCATGCCAATACCCTTTGAAACTTGACACAAAAGGGTAGAAGAAAAAGGACACGGAGATGACCGGCACTGCCAGTAGCATCAGGCTCACCAAAGGCCGGGCAAAGGAC